GGGGGAAGTTATATATTTCTAGTAGTATTAATACTATTTATTCTTTCAGGTCTACAGAACAAAATGCAGACTCATAACAGTTGCTAATGACTTAATTAAGACTCTCTGCTCCTTCGTTATGATTAGAGAGTTGAACATTAATAAAAGATTTATTCTTTCAGAGAAGGAATGTTAAATTTACTATTGTGAAGGAGTATGGGGCCAGGAAACCTGTGAGGACATGGCTGACTGGTTGTGCCAGAGCACCACAGGATGACCCAGCTTCAGGACCACGTTCCTCACTGACAGCTGAAATAAACTGGAATACTGCATAACCTTGATTTCTTACAGCCCCACTCGAGTTGCTTTTGGCACATTTGTTTCCTCATCCAGGAACTCGTTGCTACCCCTCAAAGTCATGGAAGCGGTTGCTTTGCAGCAGTGCCTTTATGAATTCTTTGATTCTTCTGCTTCCCCCCTGGCCTGTGCTACTGCTGTATTCAACAAGTCCACTGTCCTTGCTTTGCTGTGTCATTTCAAATATTTTCATTCTCCACAGCTTTTTTTTTTTTATTAGCAGCAAAGAAGGGAGTGTTTAGATAGTAGAACTCCAGCCCAGGAAGGCTTCTAGGGGGATAAAAAGTTTTTCTATTGTGTTAACTCTGACCCCAGCAGAAAACAAATGTATCCACTGAAAAGTTTCTTTTGGAAGTTGCAGGCAGACAACGACAGCACAAACAAATACTGCATTTTCTTTCCTGCCCTGGAACACAAGAAATGCTCTAGAAATGCACAGGCTGCTTAGGGCCAGGTCTCTGCAGCTCCATACACTTCCAAGGACAAAATCTACAGCAGCCAGGAGCCCAGTGAAGATGTTGTCCCTCCATAATAATGGACATTTTCATATGGATGCTTGTGAATAAAAAAAAAATTAAAATCCAAGCTTTTTTTTCACAAATGCATGTAAGAAATTGAATAAGTTCACAAAATATACAGGAATCCTCTTCTGTGCTTAGGAGGGATGGAGCTAGACCCTGCTGATGCATCAGGTGAACACAAGTAACTAAAAACTATGAAATGCTCCAAGAGAAGTGATGGATTTAAATAATTTACTTTAATATTATTTTACGCCTGCAGTTTTATTTCCCCAGAGAAATGGTTCTTGTTAGTTCTTGTTGGATGGTATTAAAATAATGAAATATTTTCTTTTGCAACCAGATAAAATCTTTACATTGCTTGTGATTTTTTTAAAAGAGTAATCAGAGGTTATTATTTCTTATACAGTTATTTAAACAGCAATATACAGTAACATTTTTAAGAGACACAACTTTCACATTTTTCTTTTCACAGAGAATTGTGAAGAGCACGGTTTTTCTATGCTAAATAATGGGATTTTTCTGCAGTGGGGTGAAAGTCCCTTTAGCTGGAAAGTGGATTTCATCTAAAATAACCAAACCTAGCACTTTAAAATAGGTTTTGTTACATAAAAACTGACAAACAAGCTGGATACGAAAGGCGGAGATACGTTGGGAAAACATGTTTTGCAATTCAGATTCCCAAGATGAAAGAATCATCTGCAGCTAGAGCTGACTGGCACTCACCCCATCAGCCCTTAGACGTAGCAGAGATCATCCTTTCAAACCTCTTCAGTCTGGAAGAGGAGACAAAACCCCGGCAAGGTGGGTGCCCCAGTGGGGTCCCTTCTGCAGA